CAGCTACTTGGGAGGCTGAGGTGGGAGAATTGCTTGATCTTGGGAGGTGGAGGTTGCAGTGAGCTGAGATCATGCCACTGCTCTCCAGCCTGGGCAACAAAGTGGGACTCTTATCTTAAAAAAAAAATGTTCCATGTGTTGTGTATTTTCCAAGTTCCTCTTATTATTGATTTCTGGTTTCATTGTGGTCAGAAAAGATAACTGACATGATTTCTACTTCTTTGAATTTGTGGAAACTTATTTTGTGGCTTAAAATATGATCTATTCTGGAGAATGTTCCATGTGGCAATAAGAAGAATATGTATTCAGCAATTGGGTGAAATGTTCTGTAAATGTCAGTTAGGCCTATTTGTCTTAGTGACTAGTTGAACTCTGAGGTTTCTTTGTTGATTGTCTAGATGATCTGTCCATTACTGAGAGTGGAGTGTTGAAGTTCCCTGTCATTATTGTGCTGCAGTCTCCCTCTCCCTTTAGATCTATTAATGTTTGCTTTATATACTTACGTGCTCCAGTGTTGGATGCATAGATATTTATAATTGCTATAGGTGATATATTGCTATTTCTTCATGAGGTCCTTGCCTTTTTTTCTGTTACTAAATGGTATCTTAAGCCTACGTTTGCTTTGACTCTAGCCAAATGTCAGAGCAGTCCCAGTCCAGATATAGGGGAGGTCCCAAAGAGGATATCCTGGCAGTGTGGAAAAACTGGCTAGGGGTTAGCATATAGGGGACCTGCGGAATGAACTTCCTATAGCATAATGCTGCTGAACAGCCACTCTGACTTGGTGTCTCCTATGGCCAAGTTATGGAGCAGAGTTTCCAGGACTGAGTATGGTAGTCCCACCTCCCTTCATCTCTTGCTGTCTTCAGGAATATACCTCCCTTCAGGCACTCATGATCCCTTCTGTGGGTTAAGGCATGGGCAGGTCTTCTGTCAAAGAACCCAAGATGGTGGGAAAGCTGGTTGTCCACCTTGATCTCACTTTTCCAGTGTAGAAACTATGAGTCAGGGAAAATTTCTGCATGCTTGCTGCTGGACAGATTAGTTAGAAGGGCATCATAGAGAATTTGATTCTCTTATATCTGCTTGGAGTTTTTTCACTTCTCTGTGGCCTCAGAGAAGTGAAATCATCCTTATATTTGAATTCTGGGTTATTGCTGATGAGAAGCTTACTGCTGTGTATGTGTTTTTAGTTTCTCATATATATATTGGAGAGGGGAGGGAAGCCAGCTTGTGTCTACGTCACCATTTTGAAATCTGAAGTCCAGACTCCATTTCCTACCTCATAATTTGTAAGATGTTTCTTTTTGTATTACTACTTTGTCTTCTAACTTGAGGTTTATTATAATTGGAATGCCAGTTGCAATTGGAGAAAAAATTTATATTTTCAGTTAAGTGTATTGGATTTCCTAAGAACATATTTTATTTTCTACTTACAATATTCAGATCAGTTGTAAATGTAAGGATTTAAAAAATCTCAAGTGACACAGTGTCCTGATGGCTTCATGAGAAAGTCTTTTTGCCTCAAGAGTTTGTATGTTTCTAATGAGATTTATTTGACTGACCTTATTCAGTTTGTTGGTTGGTGTGTTTAAAATGTTCCCTAGAAACCATAACAATCTGAAAGTTTATAAAAGGTCTGGTAACCTCACTTGAATTATTTAAACTTTTACAATAAGTGGCTTTAACTTTATTTCATGAGAGGGAAACTTAGGCTTTCTTGCTAATGTCCACACAGTTTACTTTCTTATGAGACTCGAGCTCAAAAGATTCTTCAAGTGGTCCAAATTTAATTGAAAGCCAAAGTGTCTTAATCATAATATTGTGTTTCATGATTGTGGCTTGCTTAATTTTTGGAAGAAACGGGCAGATTGGGAATTGCAGTAGGGCGAAACCAGGAAGGCTTGTGACTTCATTGTTTCAGGCCAATTAGGGAAGTTTGAACAAAGTGATTTGAGGATTTTAGCAGTATACACAGACAAGATGGATATTTTGAAAGTGCCTTTTTCCCCCCTGAAACGAGCTATGTTTTTCCTGGAATTTTTCATAATATCACTAACTCTTAATGTGGCCTTTGAAAAATTTGTTGTATATTAAGGGGAGCTTCATGGAAAACTACAATTGTATATGAATTAATGTATTTTAGAATAAATTAAGATTATGGTAAGGTGAAAAAGAAACTGGAGGAGATGGATCAAAACAATTTAAAGTCATATACACTAATGGTATGGGCATGTAGGGTTCAGTTTTTATTCAGATGTTACTAATTTTTAATTTGTTATTTAGATTTTGTGTCTTATTATTTTGGCTTAATGTTTAATGTGTGAATTAGAGCTTTAATTTGGAAAAATCTAGTGCTCTTGAGATCCATTTTATTTAGTCTTTAGTCAGTTACTGATATTCAGGAAAGAGGAAACCATAGATTTAGCGAAGGTGCTGGAAATTAAAAAAAAAATGTATTTAAGTTCTGGGGAAATTTTTTTTAAGTATCTTAAAATTTACATAAATTTATTTTTTTGTGATGTACATGTCTGAGTTTTGATAAATGCATAGTCATGTAATCATCACTGTAATCAAGAAATAGAGTAGTCTCATCACTCAGCCCCAGATACCTCATGTTATCGCTTTGCCAAGTTAAGCCTTCTCCTCATGCCCAAACCCTGTCAGCCATCACTTTGTTCTCTGTTCCTGTAAAGTATTTTTCAGGATGTAAGTAAAATTTACCCGTGTTGTATCAGTTTGTTCCCTTTTATTGTTGAGTAGTATTCCATTGTATACCATAGTTTATGCTTTCATTCATAGAGGACATTTGGGTTGTTTTCAGTTTTGGGTGATTATGAATAAAATTACATACAGGTTTTTGTGTGACTTTTAACATTTTTTCCTGGGTAAATACCTAGAAGTAGGGTTTCCAGATCAAAAGTAAAGGGAAAGTTAAATTTAAAAAAAAAGTACACAGGGGGCACAACAAGATGGACAAATACAATGTTTAACTTGATAAGAAAGTGTAAAATTGGTTCCCTTCCAAAGTGGCTGTGCGATTTTGCATTCCTTTTCCACATCTCCACTGGCAGTCATCAGATTTTTTTTTTTCCATTTTAACAGATCTATAGTAGTGTTTTATTGCTGGTTTAATTTGCATTTTCCTAATGACTAATGATGTTGGGCATATTTTCATGTGCTTATTTCTCTCTTCATATATCATTTGATGAAGTGTCTGTTAGAATTGTTTGCTCAATTTTAAATTGAGTTGTTTTCTCATGGTTGAGTTTTGAGGAATCTTTACGTATTCTAGATACATGTCTTTTATCATATATGTGATTTTCAGATATTTTCCCCATTCTGTGGCTTGTCTTCTTATTCTGTTTCTTTGAAGAGCAATTTTTTTCAATGTTGATAAAGTCTGATTTATTTTTTTCTTTAAGGATTGTGATTTTATTGTCATGTCTAAAAACTCTTAGTCTGATCCCAAGTAAGAGAAGTTTTTCCCAGTATTTTCTTGTAGAAATTTTATAGTTTTAGGTTTTACATTTAGGGCTATGATTCATTTTCAGTTAATTTTTGAATAAGGTGTGAGGTATGAGTAAAGGCTTATTTTGTTTTTGCTTATGGATGCCCAGTTTTTCTTTTCTTTCTTTGAGACAGAGTCACACTCTGTCACCCAGGCTAGAGTGCAGTGGCACCATCTCAGCTCACTGCAACCTTTGCCTCCTGGGTTCGAGCAATTCTCCTGCCTCAGCCTCCCAAGTAGCTAGAATTACAGGTACGTGACACCACACCTGGCTCATTTTTGTATTTTTAGTAGAGATAGGGTTTCACCATGTTGGCCAGGCTGGTCCTGAACTCCTGACCTCAAGCGATCTACCTGCCTTGGTCTCCCAAAGTGCTGGGATTACAGGCAGGAGCCACCGTACCTGGCCTGGATGTCCAGATTTTCTAACACGCTCTTTGGAAAGACTGTCTGCTTTCTTTTGTTTACCTTTAAGTTGCTGAAAGTTTTTATTTATTTATTTATTTATTTTTTGAGACAGAGTTTTGCTCTGTTGCCCAGGCTGGAGTGTGATGCCGGCTCACTGCAGCCTCCACCTCCTGGGTTCAAGCAATTCTCCTGTCTCAGCCTCCTGAGTAGCTGGGATTACAGGTGCACACCATCACACCTAGCTAAGTTTTGTATTTTTAGTAGAGATGGGGTTTCACCATGTTGGCTAGCCTGGTCTTGAATGCCTGACCTCAAGTGATCTGCCCGCCTTGGCCTCCCAAAGTGCTGGGATTACCGGTGTGAGCCACCGTACCTGGCGTAAGATGCTGAAAATTTTAATTCAAGAATTTATACTATACTTTTCTATCACCATAATTCTACTTAGTTGTCTGGTTATTATTTGTGTTTTTGTCAGTTATCCTAAACCTTCTAGAGAGGGTTCTAACATTTGCAAAGGTTTCTCAAAACAAAATTATTATTTGATTCCATTAAAATAAAAAAATCAATGCCATATGTTATTTTAGAGATAAGGAGTTAGAAAGTCTAATTCATCAACTCTATCTAGATTGGCATTTTGCAAAATACTGCAATGAGAAAAATACTCAATCTGGTGATAGGAGACAATGATTTTAGTCTGAGCTCTGCCCAACCATGTTACCTTGGGAAAGTCACATCAGTTATCTGGCTTTTGTTTCTCCTCCCATTGAATAAGTGGGGATAGCTAATAATCTCTAAGATCTATTCTAACTGAAATATCCTTGTTGCTATTCAGTGTTGAAAGGACCTCAAAAGGTTTAGAAAACATAAATTAGAAAAGCAGGGCCAGGTCTCTGATACTTTATTACATCTGTCATTGCCAAAGTGCCTATTTGCATGTAGTTCTGAGTGTGGTGAATTCTTTTTGTAATGGTGACATAAGTTCAAAATATGGCTGAGATGCAGATGATCTCATCACTCTTGTTAACATGGTGCTCAGGAATTTACAGTGCTAGCAGAATGCTTTCTGTTTTTGTTTTTACAGCTGGACCAAGCTACACTCTCCCTAGCTGTGAGGGAAGACTACCTTGATAACAGTACAGAAGCCAAGTCTGTAAGTTTTACTCATATTCAACTATGTGCCTTATCAAGGCTGCTGTCAGGTCCATCAGTTGTTCTAAGGTCACTGCTTCTTTACTGGAAATTAGCAGTGTGGCTATTCAATGACCATATTTCCAATGCAGGAATTATTTTATTCAGGCAGATAAATTCTACTCCCTGTCCTTCTAGAAGTCTGCACATCAAGGCTGTACAAGTCTCCATACTCAGTGCCCTTATTATCTAGCTTGGGAGACAGCATACCCAAATGAAGTAACAAAGAAATGAGCTTGCAGTCATTCATTCCTCAGAAGTGCAGAGAGCTCACTATCAATTGCAGAAATAAAGCGTCAGAAGGGATACCCAGGAGACAAATGGCTCCCACGTTGTACTCCTTTAAAATCACTTGGGAGGCTTCCATTAAATATTACTTCTTGGGTCACAGCCCTGGAGAGTCTGACTTAGTATACTTGAGGTAGGGTCTGAGAATCTATTTTTAACAGGTGCTCCAGGTTAATGGAGGTTTAGTAAGAATCAGAAAGGATCAATCAAGTTAGACTTTTGGGTTGGCATGGAAATATAGCAGTTTCCTAGATGTTGGAAAGAGCTGGTTCATTTCTGACAGATTCATTTTGGAAACTTTATTGAACTTCCAAAGGAGCCTCAGACCTAGGTCCCCTGGGTCTTTGCTGATACTAAATTCTATACATAGAAGACCCTGGAGGGAAGCTAGCTAAGATGCTAGGCAGCTTTCTTGCTGAGGATACTTATCAAAGAGGGTTGGCAAGTTTTCCTTCCTAAAAGTGGACAGAATGAACATTTGCTAACGTGGAGGGAGGGTATACCTCCGGTTTTGATGGAGTCTCAGCAAGTAGGCTCAAAATCATCTCCCCTGTAACCTATCAGTCAAGTCCTAGTGATTCCACCTTAAAAATATCTCTTGGTCCCTCTTTTCTATCTTGACTGCTATGGGTGAGATTCTTGTTAACTCCTTGCCTTGACTACAGCAAGTGGCCTTTTAACTGTTACTGCCTCTCCTTCATCACATTTCCTCCTTAGCTCCTTGACAAGTTCTGTTCTCAAAGCACTGCTCCCAGCATGCCTTTGCTCCCAAGACAGGGTCTAAAGTCTTTAGAGGGCTTTCAAGGCCTCCTCATGACTTTATCCCAAGTAATCTTTCCTATCTCATCTAGTTTTTTTCTTCCCCCAACAAAAGCAGTTTGCCCACTGTATTAGTTCGTTCTCATTTTCCTAATAAAAACATACTTGAGACTGGGTAATTTATAAAGAAAAGAAGTTTAATTGACTCACACTTTCACATAGCTGGGGAGGCCTTCAAAGTCACGTCTTACGTGGTGGCACACAAGAGAGCTTTTGCAGGGGATCTTCCATTTATAAAACCATCAGATCTCATGAGACTTATTCACTACCATGAAAACAGTATAGAGGAAACCACCCCCATGATTCAGTGATGTCCACTTGGCCCTACCCTTGACATGTGGGAATTATTACAATTCAAGGTGAGATTTGAGAGGGGACACAGCCAAACTGTATCACCCACCTCACAGGATTTTCACTGTGTCTGAACCAGTCTCCCTCAAAGGCTATGTCCCCAATTTCTCCAGGCAAGATTTTATCTCCAGCTCTTGAGTTTCTAAGCAGGTAGCAGCTTGATTAAGGATGTTACTTTGATGTCTTTAATGTTATAGTTATTAATTATATGTTTATCTTCCTCACTGGATCATGTACTGTTTGGGAACCAGACATAGCATTTTTTTTTTTTTTTTTTTTTTTTTTTTGGAGACAGATTTTTTTTTTTTTTTTTTTTTTTTGTCTGTACCACCATCTCCTAACATATGCACAGAGGGCCTATCAAGCCACCTTGCACATTTGAGTAAGTACTCAATAAATACGTGTTTTTAAAAAAATTTTTTAGATAGTGTCTTGCTGTGTTGCCCAGGCTGGAGTGCAGTGGCATGATCTTGACTCACTGCAACCTCTGCCTCCTGGGTTCAAGCGATTCTCCCACCTCAGCCTCCCAAGTAGCTGCAATTACAGGCGTGTGCCACCACGCTGGGCTTATTTTTGTATTTTTAGTAGAGACAGGTTTTCACCTTGTTGGCCAGGCTGGTCTCAAACTCCTGGCCTCAAGTGATCCGCCCACCTCTGCCTCCCAAAGTGTTGGAGTTACAAGCGTGAGCCCCCATGCCTGGTCAATAAATACGTTTTGAATTGAACTGGGAATAGCAAAATATTATTTCTATTTAAGACTATTTTTAAAGCTTGCTTACTGATCGATCAAAGATTTATTAAAGGCCTGCTGTATGCTAAGCACCATACAGGTCCTGAGGTCACACACATAGTAAGAATAGCTTACAGAGTCAAGATACACATTAGTAAGTCTTATTCCCAAAGCATGAGAAGGAGGTCATTTAATACCTGGTGTGTTGAGATCTCACAAATACATCTGAAATGAGAGGTGGGCCTAATGCAATTCTTTAATTCCCATGTAGTAAGGTCACCCCCACCCCATGCAGTGACATATGAGTAGCTCCAAAATGGGTTTATGAATATGTAGGAAGGAAATTCTATATTTGCTATTTGTTGGGTTTCTCATTATCATTCCTCTCTTTTCTCCTTTTATTTATTTATTTTTTTCCTGAGCTAGGGAACAGAACTTTGTGAAAACTAAAAAACTGAAAAGACACAGGGCTGCTGCCACTGGTCTTTTATTTCTTAGTGTGAAGGTGGGTAAATTGAGTTGCAGGAGAATAAATCACACCTCCCACCGTTCTGTATGGATCAGACCTCCTGCTTTTAGAAACAGTTCTTTCCCATTATTTTATTAAAGCCTCATTTGTCTGGGAAAAGGACATCTGACCTTAACTTTCTATTCTTGTCTCATTTGGAGTTATTTCATGTATCCATAATATCGTCAGTTGCCAGCAAACTAGTTCTCTTTTTTT